TTTCTATATTTATTTAGTTATAAAATATTTTACCAGGATGGATACATGAAGATTTCTCTCATTTTCAAGTATGTCCTGGGTCCATAAAACATTGCATTGTTACAGTAGGGTACAATATTACAAAAATACAATAAACAAACTATATATACTGTGACGAGACCAATCTCGCCACATTGCATTGGAGAAGCCTGGTCGCTCGCCTGTTGCCTTTGTTAAAAGACTTTGTTTCCCCTGCAGAAAAGACTTATTTGTGCTTTTCTGCCCGGTGTTCGGTAGACTCAATCTACCGAACTAACACAGGAATGACAAGACCACCTGGGAGCTGGAGTGTGTCGGCAATTAGCCTCCCAGAAGCTGCGGTTTAACCGCAGCTTAATTGATGAATACTGGGTGGACCCACCATTCGTATACCGAACACGAGGTCACGGCCATTTTAAACACGCGAACGCACAGCGGTGTTCGACGCCTAACTCATGGAACTAAAAACAGACATAGTTTAGCACGAACACCGCTGAAGCCGCCGACCACCCTTCTTGTTTGGTGGAAGTGCACGAACGGCCCTGTATTCGGTAGTTGTACCTGACTGCACTATACCCCAGATAGGAATCCCATGGAGCTCATTCGTATGAGAACTGACTTTGTGAAGACTTTGGCTCCATGGCGATTAAACTGTACTCGTGTGGTCTGAGCGCCATTCGCTTAATAATGTGCACTCAGACCTGAGCTATCTGGGGATATGTTGAATGTATATATTCATTGTAACTTGTCACATAGTGTATTTTAACAGTAATTCCTATTTTAGTATCCCCACGTGCATAATGGCGATTTGCCTTTGTCCTGGGAGATAATTGGATTACTTCTCAATTATCTCCAGTGCAAAAGGGAGGAAGCCAGGATGCATTGTGGGAATATAATGTGACTGTGTGTCCTGGATTGCTGCTTGTCTGTCCTGTGTTACAGTCTCCCATTTGGTCCCCTAGGGGAGTGTCCACCAGGTGGGAGACCTGCATAAATACTGGGCAGGTAGCCCTCATTAAACAGACCACTGCTTGACCCTCAACACGGAGCCTTGTCTCGTCTTTGGGGGGATTTACTGAATGCTGATAGAGACTGATTGCTAGTAGTGTAAGCTTGAGTGCTTTTCCTATTCGTCTGCTAGCAGCTATTCGTATGGTTCCAGTTCGTGAGTTTGGAGTGCTATATTGTATGCCGTTCGGGAGTTTGGAGCATTCCCTTACATGCGGTTCGGGAGTTTGGTGTTCTACAGTAGCTGTGCCTGCATCTCTGAAAGGGGACCCATTGTGTGCCGGAACGGTCCGTTACATATACACACATTTATAAATTGAATACATAATAGGTAATAAACATATTCAACCATGACAGGTGCATTCTGTATTGAGGTATATTGCCATAGATCTCTTAAACGATTTTAGATTGAATGAAGAATTGATTGTGTCCCTGAGGTTATTCCATAATTGCGATGCTCTGTAGGAAAATGAGGATCGAGCCACTTTATTTTTGTATTGCGGTATTGTAAATATCGTGCTAGTACTGAATTGGAGGTTATAGAAGTGGTAACAGCTGGGGAGAGCATTCTACTCAGGTAGGGTGGGAGCTTCCCAGAAATGCTCTTATGCACAAGGCTGAAATGATGAAGAGTGTATCGGGATTCCAGCGATAGCCAGTTTAGCTCTTTTGACATGTCACAGTGGTGGGTAAAGTAATTACATTTTAGTACAAAGCGGCAGAACTAATTATATAACGTATTAAGTTTATTAAGGTGGGTTTGCGTTGCGGGTGCATACACTACATCCCCATAATCAATGACCGGCATTAGCATTTGTTGCACTATCCGTTTCCTTACTGTAAACTTACTTTTATCTCTATCCATAACATTGATAGTTACTGTTCTCTAGTATGCAAAAATTGTTTTAAAAAGTAAATAAAAGTCCTTTTTATACTCTTCATATGAATTTTTACAAATAATCAATGATCTGGATTTGTCCTATTTACTGTACTTAACATAATATCAAATCTAACAGTAGAATGAAGTACAATAACATCAAAATTAAATACATGTGCTGCTACACTATATTAGACTCTTCCCAGTATAAAAGTGTTCTAATTTTCACTCTGGAAAGTGATACCACTACGGTACACGTAAACAACTTGGATCACAAAGCTGTTTGTATCCTGATAATTACGATCTGCCTGTTCCAACCAGTGGGAACCCACTAAAAAGACGTTGGGACTTATCTCAACTCAAGGGCTACAAACCTTATAGTGTTTTACAGTGTTCAGATGTTTGTCATAATGTGAATTAATCCCATGTTGATATTTGTTTTCATTTTAGCACTGAATCGTAAAATAACCTTAATTGAACAAGAGCTTCGATCTGTTCAGTCCAAGTTAGAGGCTCAGAAGAAAGGTTAGTAGAACAAATCTAATATGTCAACAAATGTATTGTATGTGCATTCTCAGTATAATGATTAAACATACAGTGATTGTGATTACCTTATAGAAGGGTTCTTGATTTGGCTCAGGAGTAGGCAACCTTTGGCACTGAAAATATTGTGGACTACATCTCCCATAATGTATTACAGCCATAAGGGGATGTTTTAGCCGATGCCCATATACACATTTTTATTGCATTCATTTTATTTTATTTTTAAAAAAATTTTTTTAAAGAGTGTCAGACATATGGATACATGAGTACCATTCAAACTGTTTCAAGTCAGCCGGCAAATGCCATAGAAATAAAAGCACTGTAGAGCATACATATACATTATACGTACAATGGACAATAGTTGAGATCGAGATGATACAACAAAGTGTAACTCATAGTAGTCATTTCAGATAGATGTATTGCCTTGGAGATCTTGAGGAAAATATAGTCGGTATACCATATCTATATATAAAGTATCAACAACATGGGATTTTTTTTAAATTTAAAGGAGTGATAGGTGTCATCAATGTGTAATATTTTCGCAAAGTTATCAATAGTGTAGTTCCATATGTCAGCTTAGGCACATTAAGAGAACAATAAAAACAAGAAGGAAAAGATAATTAATCATAATCAAAATAAAGAATAAATATATATATATATATATATATATATATATATAGAGAGAGAGATAGAGTTGTGGTGGGGGAAAAAAGTGTGGATGAAAACCCCTTCCACCTGAAGTAAGTGGATAGTTAATACAGTGCTAAACACAAATACACACACCAGTCAAGCCATAAGACTTGCTTTTACCACCGAAATCTCACTTTAACAGTGCTCTCACTACTGCAAGGGATTCTGGGTAGGCGTATGCAAATGAGCTCAACAAAAAAACAAATTTTTGCCTCATAATTCCACTTTATACATGGATTCTTTGGAGTATGTGTTTGCTGTATACAATAGCTTTGAAACACAACTCAGCAAGAGGAGCAAAGCCAGGGAACAACTCATGGACAGCTGCTTCATTGTTAATGCAACTCATCATCATGACCTTTTTCCTGTCCCTTTCCCTGTACAAACAATAAACCTGTAGGTGTTTTAAGTGGTGCTTGCTTTTAATATCTCATCACCTTATTTAGAAAGAGGGAAGAGATAACTAAGTGTCACCTCATGCTTGTGACATATTGTTTATTTATATCATAAAATTAATTATAAAATTACAATTTCAGATATGTAGATAGATTTGACATTTCACCTGACATTTTTACCACAAATAACAGAAATATTGGAAATACCTGCAGTATGTGCCAGAAGTCTTAATTTCTTTATGATAGTTTTTCTAAATAATGTCACAGAATATTAGAAATTTTTTTATTGCTTTGTAATATTATTTTATAAAGCTAAAAATTAAAGCTGATGTTTTATTTGCTTTAAGCCCTGGTATTCTCTAAAGGAGCAAACAGTGGTGACAAAATCTATATTACAAATGGCCAGGAAGCAACGTACAATGAAGGAAAAGCTATTTGCTCTTCAGCTGGAGGACAGCTTGCTTCACCAACTAATGCAGAAGAGAACCGTGTTATACTAGCCGTGGCTCAGCAAAATAGCAAGATTCCATATCTTGGTATTAATGACATTCAGACTGAGGGAAGTTTTAGATACCCAAATGGAGTGAGAATCAGCTACTCAAACTGGAAAACTGGTGAACCCAATGATGAAAAAGGGAACGAGGATTGTGTGGAAATGTATACCTCAGGATTATGGAATGATAAGATCTGTACAGAAAAACGACTTGTCATTTGTGAATTTTTTTAAAATTGTATTTTTTTCTTTGGTTTATAAAAAGTTACATTTTTAGGACGTAGAAATATAATCGTAATGGAAATCAAACTGGTGCACTTGAATCATACCCTGATTAAAATAAATTCCAAGGAAATATTGTTTGTCATTTGCCCTTTGACTAATGTTACCAGCCTTTCTAATAAATACTTTTAAAGCATCTATAATTAAACAATAATTTGAGAACAGTGGTAGAGTTGCTCTTCTCCATATTGCATCCATAGTAAACTAATCTAAATATTTTTACATATATTTCAAATACATCAGTTGGTTTTAACTTTTATTGAGATTGATTTTTAAAAATGTTTTTCTATTTTCTGCTACAGCTGATATTATTTAAGTTATACAACACTGCTACTTTGTCTTGATCCAGTTACATTGCGATGTCCATTAAAGGACCACTCTAGGCACCCAGACCACTTCAGCTTAATGAAGTGGTCTGGGTGCCAGGTCCTTCTAGGGTTAACCCATTTTTTAATAAACATAGCAGTTTCAGAGAAATGTTTATGAATGGGTTAAGCCTTCCCCCTAATCCTCTAGTGGCTGTCTCATTGACAGCCACTAGAGGCGCTTGCGTGCTTCTCACTGTGATTTTCACAGTGAGAGCACGCCAGTATCCATAGGTTACTGCGAATGCTTTCCTATGCACGCTGAATGTGCCGCAGCGCTGCGCGACGCGGCGCATTCAACCTGTGAGGAGATCGAGGCGAGAGGAGGCAGAGAGCCCCGCCCAGCGCTGGAAAAAGGTAAGTTTTAACCCCTTTCCCCCTTCCAGAGCCGGGCGGGAGGGGGACCCTGAGGGTGGGGGCACCCTCAGGGCACTATAGTGCCAGGAAAACGGTTATGTTTTCCTGGCACTATAGTGGTCCTTTAAGGTCTTTTTTATTGATAAAACAGATAAGGTTCATTTAACGATCTTACAGGTCAGGAATCTCCACTAGATAATATCACGTACTGTGAAATGACATATCACATTTGTGGCTAGTGTGTCAGTCCCTTGGGTAAGCAAAAGAATATCAGTTTCACTGCAGTAAGCAATTGCACGCACACAGAAGTTCCGTTTTATTAAAGGGATCCTACAGTGCCAGGAATACATGTGTAGGTCCCCCGCTCCCTCGGGGCCGCACTCCTGCAGAGCTGAAGGGGATAAAACCTGGGTCAGGCTCAGCCCACGCTCCTCCCCCGCCGCCGTCAGCTGGCAGGGGAGACCTACTGCGCATGCGCGGCACTGGGCGCGCGCGCATTAGACCTCCCCATAGGAAAACCATTATTCAATGCTTTCCTACAGGGAAAATCTGATGCTGGAGGTCCGTGAGGATGTCCAGCGTCAGATAACGGACCAAAAAAAGTTAGACAGCCACAGAGGGCAGACTTAGAGCTGCAATGTAAAAATGTTGTTCAAGAATGGGTAGGACATTGACTCACTAATCCATATACAGCAAAGACATCGGAATGTGGTTCGGACTAGAGAAGTGCTATATATATATAAGACAGTCCAGTCCTTGCACTCAGATATATCCAGCAAATAATGCAAAACATTGTTGCAGGGTGCATGAATTTAGCCACAACCAAAAAATACAAAATATAAATATGGGCTAGCACTCACGGTCTTTTGAAGTAAAATCAATTATTTATTGAAGAATCTCTAAAAATCAATGTTTCAACCCAAGTTCTGAGCTTTCATCATGATCAACAAAACAAATATAATACGAACAGCTTAATATGCACCAATATATAACCCAAAGAAAGAAAAGAAAACTCACCACAGGTGATACTAGCTGATTGATCGGCGTCCTCCCAAGCGATGTGTGCATACCCGGAAGTGCCGAGTGTGACGTGATGACGTCACTGCACCTCGCTCATTGCGGGTTGCCATGGTGACAGCCGAATATCAATACACAGGTACAAAGTGATAAAGAAGTGAAAGATAGTATCATAAGTGCCTAAAATTGTAGCCACTGGCGTACATTCCAGGGTCGCAGGGGTCGCGACTGCGACCGGGCCCGGCCCGCCAAGGGGCCCGGCCGCCCCTGCGACCCGGTATGTACGCCCAGGGCCAGCCTCTTCCCCTGGGGGGCCCAGGAGCCGACCACCCCAGGGCCCCCCTGAGGCTGGCCTTGCTGACCCCGGCGTCAGCCGGGTAGGCGAGCGCCGAGGCATCTCAGCGTTTCCTCAGCTCCCCTCGCTGCCGCTATTCGCCGCCGGAGCCGGAAGATGACGTCATCTTCCGGCGCCGGCATCCCTACGCGGCGCGCGAGAGAGCTGAAGAGGAAGCAGTGAGTGCTCCCTCGCGCGCCCACCTGCCCGACCGGCCACCCGCCCAGGAGCCCCACTGGACCCCAGGGAATAATCCCCCCCAGCACTCATAGAGGTAAGGAGGCTGGGGGGATTATATAAAAAAAAAAGAAAAAATCATGTGTGAGTGTTAGTGTGAGTGTGTGTGAGTGTTAGAGTGAGTGTGAGTGTTAGAGTGAGTGTTAGTGTGTGTTAGTGTGTGTGAGTGTTAGTGTGTGTGAGTGTTAGAGTGAGTGTTAGTGTGTGTCTGCTAGTGAGTGTTAGTGTGTTAGTGTGTGAGTGTGTTACTGTGTGTGTCTTACTGAGTGTGTGTGTGTTAGTGAGTCTGTTTGATGTCTGTTAGTGAGTGCGTGTTTGTCAATGAGAGTGTATGTTTTGTAAGTGAGTGTGTATGTATGTCTGTCGCTGACTGTATCTCTGTCAGTAAATGTGTGTGTCTGTTAGCTAGTGTGTATGCGTCTGTAAGTGTGTGTGTGTGTGTCTTCAGCACTTACCTTTCTCCAGCGCCGGACTCCCTTGGTGCTGGGGATCCCTCAGCCTCTCAGCTCCGAATGCGACCGCGCACGCATTCAAACCGCCCATAGGAAAGCATTACTCAATGCTTTCCTATGGACGTTCAGTGTGCTCCTCTAGCGGCTGTCCGTGAGACAGCCACTAGAGGCTGGATTAACCCTCAGTGAAACATAGCAGTTTCTCTGAAACTGCTATGTTTTCAACTGCAGGGTTAAAACTAGAGGGACCTGACACCCAGACAACTTCATTGAGCTGATGTGATCTGGGTGTCTGTAGTGGTCCTTTAAAGGACCACTATAGTGCCAGGAAAACATACTCGTTTTCCTGGCACTATAGTGCCCTGAGGGTGCCCCACCCTCAGGGACCCCCTCCCGCCCGGCTCTGGAAAGGGGTAAAACTTACCTTTTTCCACCGCTGGGCGGAGAGCTCTCCTCCTCCGATCCTCCTCTTCTCCTCCCCGTCGGCTGTATGCGCACGCGCGGCAAGAGCTGTGCGCGCATTCAGCCGGTCACATAGGAAAGCATTCATAATGCTTTCCTATGGACGCTGGCGTGCTCTCACTGTGAAAATCACAGTGAGAAGCACGCAAGCGCCTCTAGCGGCTGTCAATGGGACAGCCACTAGAGGAAATAAGGGAAGGCTTAACCCATTCATAAACACAGCAGTTTCTCTGAAACTGCTATGTTTATGAAAAAATGTGTTAACCCTAGCTCGACCTGGCACCCAGACCACTTCATTAAGCTGTAGTGGTCTGGGTGCCTAGAGTGGTCCTTTAAGTGTGTGTGCATCTGCATGCACTGGCGTACGTACCGCGGTCGCAGGGGTCGCAGCCCTGTAACCCCTGCGACCAGGTCCCCACCGCCATGTGTTGCGGCCCGGCCCGCGCGGGGGAGGTGGGGGGGGGGCACGGATCAATTTTCGCACCGGGGCCCCATGGGTCATGTGTACGCCACTGATTGTAGCAAAAGGGTACCATAACTTAGCCTTCCCATAGCCATAGCCACATATAGATCACTTATGTTGCTAACTAAAATGCGATCATATGGCACTAAGAAAAAAAGAGAAGCCATAAAAAGAAGAAAAAGAAAATTATAAAAAGAAAAAAGAAGAAATATAAAAATAAAAATATGTGATGATGATGGTAGGATGCAAGAAAGAGTAGGAAACAAAGACCCAAGTCCCTAATAATATAACTGTACGCTATCATTATACAGCAAGCTTATATGCTTTGTAAAAAGGCGTATGTATTATAAGTACTATAATGTACCATAGGTCTATAGGGTCACTGACATGCGCAAACAGGCTTACTGACAGACAAAACTCTCTGACTCACACAGACTGCTGAGTCCACACACAGACTGCTGAGTCCACACACAGACACACACTGCTGAATCCATAGACACAGACTGCTGAGTCCATACACACACACATAGACTGCTAAGTCCATACACACAGACTGCTGAGTCCATACACACACACACAGACTGCTGAGTCCATACACACAGACTGTTGAGTCCATACACACACACACACAGACTGCTGAGTCCATACACAATCACACAGACTGCTGAGTCCATACACACAAACAGAGACTGCTGAGTCCATACACACACACACACAGACTGCTGAGTCCATACACACAGACACACACAGACTGCTGAGTCCATACACACTCACACAGACTGCTGAGTCCATACACACAAACACAGACTGCTGAGTCCATACACACACACACCAAGCCTACCTGTCACTGGAAGCTGTTGCTGGGGGTCAGACAGCCATCTTCTGCAGCAGCATGGTCTGCTGCTTTACGGAGGGGGCGGGGCTTATGTCAGTGCTCCCTCCAGCCCCAGCAGCGTTCCAGCTGCTCTCTCCTGCATTCCCTCGGGCTGTGACAGACTGTTACAGTCCGAGGGAATATAATTGAAGCACATGGCCAGCAAGTTGCCGGCATTTGGTTGGGGCCCAAAGGGGGGCACAGCATGATGTGGGGGGGCATGGCCCCCTCTGCCCCCCCCTAGTGACGCCTCTGATCTATATGTGACTATGGCTATGGGAAGGCTAAGTTATGGTACCCCTTTTGCTACAATTTTAGGCACTTATGATACTATCGTTCACTTTCTTTATCACTTTGTACCTGTGTATTGATATTCGGCTGTCACCATAGCAACCCGCAATGAGCGAGATGCAGTGACGTCATCACGTCACACTCGGCACTTCCGGGTATGCGCACATCGCTTGGGAGGACGCCGATCAATCAGCGAGTATCACCTGTGGTGAGTTTTCTTTTCTTTCTTTGGGTTATATATTGGTGCATATTAACCCCTTAAGGACGGAGCCAAATGTACACGTTGTGAACGAAACAAAATGTAAACAAAACCTGACATTTGCGCTACATGTCTGTCCAACTGCAATTCACCTCTTTCATATTAAATACACCCACCCTTATTATATATCATTTTATTCAGGGGAAACAGGGTTTTCATTTAATATCAAATATTTAAGCTATGAAACATAATTTAATATGAAAAAAATGGGAGAAAATAATTTTTTTTTGATTTTTTTAAATTCTACATGACATTTTAACGGTCAATGTCATAATACTGTTTGCTTTTACTGCAATAAAATACACATATTTGTATTCAGAAAAGTCTCACGTGTAAAACAGTACCCCCTATGTACAGGTTTTATGGCGTTTTGGGAAGTTACAGGGTCAAATATAGCATGTTACATCGATTGGTTATCTCTTTATAGTAGCCCGAATGAGGGCCTCGATATCTATATCGGTATATTTATTTGTAGACAACCCAAGGTATTGCAAACAGGGTATGTCCAGTCTTTAGTAGCCACTTAGTCACAAACACTGGCCAAAATTGGCGTTTTTTTGCATTTTTCACACAAACAGATACTAACGCTAACTTTGGCCAGTGTTTGTGACCAAATGGCTACTAAAAAAGACTGGACATACCCCATTTGCAATACCTTGGGTTGTTCACTATTGCAAATGGTATGCCATTATGGGTACTTATCTGGGCCGTACGAGGTCTCAAAGACAACGAACTAATCTAAGTAATTTTAATGCGGAAAACAAGCCTTAGGTTTGACGCTGTATCTTTTGAACATTATAAAATCGATGATGGGTGATTAAGATGAGCCAAAACAGTAAAAAGTATCACAGCAATAATATCGTCCGTGTAAGTGCTGTTTGTGCATGAAAAATGCAAAAAACGTCACTTTTACTGGCGATATCATCATTGTAATACATTTTACTGTTTTGAAACACTAATATTTGTGTTCAGCGAAGTCTCCCGAGTAGAACAGTACCCCCCATGTACAGGTTTTATGGTGTCTTGGAAAAAAATATTACATAAATATCTATGTAGAATTAATATATGTATATATATACGTATGTGAATATATATGTGTGTATATATATATATATATATATATATATATATATATATATATAATTTTTTACAAATATTTTTATTTATATATAGGTATATAGTGATATATACGTATATATTTATGTATATAGATATATATATATTATTTCGTTCTACGTGTATTTTGATATATATATATATATTAATATCACAATACAGTTAGAACGAAATAACACACTTCTATATTTTTTTCATTATTTTTTAAATTATTTTTTTAATTTTATTTTTTTACGTATTTACATATTAAATTTTTTTATGTTATATATAAATATATATATATATATATAACAATAATTATATATATATTTAATCAATATCAGTCTACGTGTAGTTGATATTAATATATATATATATATATATATTAATATTAAAATACACCTAGACAGTGTATGTGTGTGTATGTGTGTGTATGTATATGTATATATATATACTTAGATCATATATATATATTTTTTTATAGTTTTTTTATAGTTTTTAACTTTTTTAAAATTTATTTATTTTATTTCCAGCCAGCAGGGGGACCACCTGTCATTACAGGCAGCCCCCCTGCTGGCAATGCAGGAGGCAGCTATCCCGGCCATGTGATTGTGAGGTCCTCGCAAGGACCTCACTCTCACATGGCCGGGGGGCTGCCAGGGGGTCGGACGTGCCGCGCAGGGCTCCCTGGGAGTCCCCCCAACCGGGATCGCCGGCGACCGGGTAAGTAAAGAAAGACCGGAGGGCGTACTATTATGCCCAGCGGCATTTAGAGCCGCCTAAAATAGGGCGTAATAGTATGCCCTCCGGTCTTAAGGGGTTAAGCTGTTCGTATTATATTTGTTTTGTTGATCCTGATGAAAGCTCAGAACTTGGGCTGAAACGTCGATTTGTTAAAGATTCTTCAATAAAGAATTGATTTTACTTCAAAAGACCGTGAGTTCTAGCCCATATTTATATTTTATTTACATATATTTTATTTACATACTGCCCCCCTTACAGCCGGCAGGGGAGAGAGAGGGAGGGAGAGAGGACCCGGGAGCTCAGGCTGCAGCTCCTCCGGGTCCTCCTCTCGCGAGATTTGAAGCGTTGCCGCGGTTACCACGGCAACGCTCCAAATCTCGCGAGAGTGAACTCTAGCCCTGGAGCGCGGGCTAGAGTTCACTCTCACCACCTGACCACCAATGAATCCCCCACCAGACCACCAGGGACTAAGAAATGTCCCCCCTCCTCCCAGTAAAGGTAAGAAGGGAGGGGGGACATAGCATATTTATTTTAATTAAATTAAAAAAATATATATTATAAAAAAAAAAAAAGCCACACACACACACACATTGCCCCCAATACTGCCCCCCCCTTCACACAAACTGCCCCTATACACACATACTGCCCCCCCATACACACATACTGCCCCCAAGGCCATACACATTGCCCTAACACTGCTCCCCTATACACACATACTGCCTCATACACACACACATACTGTCTCTATACACATACTGCCCCACACATACTGCCCCCCATACAGCACATACTGCCCCCATACACACATACTGTCCCCCATACACACACATACTGCCCCCCATACACACATACTGCCCCCATACACTGCCCCCATACACACAGCACTGCCCCCCACACACTGCCCTCTATACACACATCTGCCCCCATACATACACACTGCCCCTATACACACACACTGCCCCATACACACATACTGCCCCCATACACATACTGCCCCCCACACACACACTCTACACACACACACTGCCCCCCATACACACACATTGCCCACACTCACACATAC